TTTTTTAAATTTAANAATAAGTTTGAAATTATACTGGTATGAAACATGAATAAAAATCATTTTAGTATTATGGTTTTTTTATTCAAGGTAATCTTTGTATAATCAACAATCTCATTCACAATGGTATCTGCAACAGGATTTGAAGGATTCTATAGGAGCATTACTTTTACTTTATTCCAGTGCATATCTCTTTCTCTTTCCATTACTTTGGTGTCCTTCGTACTTTTTTGTGCATGAAGGTGATCGAACACCTTGTATGACAACAAACTCTGAAGGAATGATGGTTCATTTGGTTACAGAATGTTAGACAGTTCTTTTAAACACTAGAAACTACTCCAGCCAAATAGAATGAGACTGTCAAACTGCAATCTTTTATGCCAGGTTAAAGGGAATGTCTTTATCAACTTATTTTGATCTATGGGATTAAAGAATAGATGACTTTTAATTTAAATCTAAGCTGTCAAATGTTTCATTTGGAGTGTACATTCTGATCTGAATCCTTTTAAAGAAGTCCTAAAAATTTTCCAGAGAAGAGGAGAATGTGTTTACTGAATACATGTGGAACCATCATTTCCACATGTATTCAGAAAACACACTCTCAATGGCACACAATAAAATTTAGAAGCTTTGCTTAATAACATTGTCAAGACTTGTTACAGTAAAGGCTTGCTTCTGCAATTAAAGTGTCAGGGTCTCATACACCAACCAGTACTTTAGATCAGGCAATTATATTCACTGAAGAAGATAGAGCTAGGGAACTACAGAGTATATATATGCAAATATGGAAGGATGTGCTGATGATTCAAAAATTGATAAGGAAGTTGAGAATAAAATCTCTTAAGTTGGAGGAGCAAGTAAGGAATTAAAGGAGTCTATGTTTTTATTGATTGAGGTTTGCAAATTAAAAAATGTAACCCAGAACCTGTGGGAATGTGGAGGTATCTTAAATGCAGGCAGCTTGGCTACCTAGCACAGTAGTACAAGATGAAAAAAGTGTTAAACTAAGAGTGAACTAGTTGTGTGAATCAGCTACTTCTATTGTTAAGTTTGGCCAATGAAATTTTGTTATCTGATAGATGAGTCTCAATTATTGGTAGTACAATCAATGACTTTAAGGTTAAGTGGTTGATAGATACTGAGGCTGAGAGGTTGGTTATTGATGAGAAATTAGCAAGTTGGCTGAGAGAGATAGGCCCAAGTTGTATAGTTTTCAGTTGTATTTCCATAGAGGATTGTGGGAACCTCTGTTACTAGGCCTCTGGAAATTTTCTGATTTTCCAATAGCTCTATCCATCTGATCTAGAAACTAAAAGTTATGAGTATGCAGAATTTAGAATTGTAAAAAAATAGATAAAAGGTTTCAATCAGAGCATAGACCAAAAATTCTGTCTACTAGAGAGATGTAATGGTTGTCTTTTAGGAATCAATGTACAATAAATAGAATCAGAATATACTGTATATATGCAGTGTGTATATATTGGTTGAGGTGTGCTCTTCTTACAGACAGTTGTACAGTTATGTCATATCTATCATGGTCTTTGATTGATTTCAAGATTAAAGAAATGGACTTCTGAAAAACTATCGGTCCATGTTGAATGTAAGTCTCAAGAGTTTCTGAGATAGATGTGATGAAAGAACTGGCATAGCTTCTCTTCCAAATGATAAGAATATCATCTGCATAATTGTGTCTGTATTGAGAAATTTCAATTACTGTTATCATTATAAAAGCCAAAGAAATTATTTTAAACGAAATTATTCTATAAAATTAAGATTTTCACACATTTACGTAGTATTTCTCCAGATTTTTAAAACATATACAGCTGTTTTGGAGATCAAGACCTAATCATTTATATTAAATTCTCTACTTTTTGGAATTTAACTTACCCTCAAGTGTACCAACACAATGTTTATAGAAAATGCATCTCAAATTATATTCAGGTTACATTTTCTGTCATTATGACTTCTGTAGTCTTAATGTAAAAAAAATAGGTGTATGTGCAGTTAAGATTTGAGATTAGCCTATAAGAAAGTGAAAACATAGCTTATGAAAGGAGAGAGGGTGAAAATTTAAATATATTTTTAAATATTTAATTTTAAGCTGATATTTTGTCATTTATATTAAATAAGTTATTTCCATTCTATTAGCTAAGAAAACATCTAAAAGGAACATTTATCGACCCATGGATGAGAAAACATTAGAAAAAGCTAGAATAAAACGTGAAAAAGAAGTACGACTGAATAATATAATAAGAGAACTGGTCGTTTATTCTCTGTATCTTTGGATTCTCGTAATTATAAGCTATGGTCAAAGAGATCCAAACGGTTATTATATGAGGTTAAACATAATAAATAATTTTATCAAACCTGGAGATCACTGGAATGATTTTAATAAGGTATAAATATTAAACAATTGTATTTTATTTTAATATTTTTCTATATTAAATTTTGGCTACTTTAAAGGTTAATACGGATAGACGATTTTGGAATTGGACTACTGAAGTTTTGATTCCAGAATTATTGATCGGAANGAAATACAAGCAATTAACTTTTGTTGTGAAGAATATGAGTGAGAACATTAAAAACGTGTCGACCAGGAAAAACAAACACCAATAAATAAAGAGAAATTAAAGTTATTTTCAATTTGAAATCAATGTATAGGTGACGAATGAGACTCCTTTCGTCAACGATCCTCGTTTAGCTCGAGGTGAAGGAGAAGAGTGAATAATGTACTTTGGGAGGAGAGTAATTTTTACCCCGGGACGTAGATAGTCCGTGACGTCATGTACTTATGAAGTAGAGGTTGAGGTTAAGATGTTGATGAGGCTTCTCTTGGCTCGTTAATTTAAGAAAGATAGACACACCCTCTACGCTTCACCAAATCTCTTTTAGCATAGAAATCGTCTGATTGGATAAAATTAGGCTAACAATCGGGTCATAGATAACCAGCTTACATATTTTTTTTAATTGTTAAGTAATAGTGTTACGTAAACGGTTCATTAATTTAATTTTAAATATATTTTTTTTTCTGATAGAAAAATTCTCTAATCTTTTACTTATTCGTAATAATATTTAATATAATAATTTAATATTTGAGTTTTATGCTTACATCATAAAAAGTCTTCTCACGTGTAGGCCTTTGCTTCTGTATAAAATATTCCAGAAGTATCTGTAAAGACCTTCAAATTAAAGAATGGCCTTTTGTTTATATAAAGGGATTTTAAAACACGAGAAAGGCTGGCGTATACGCTAAAGATCTTTGAATATACAGAAAATCTAAAGACGTAGGCCTTCTACACGTAAATTAGAGTATATAAAGGCTTTGTGTATTATTTATTTTAAATAATAAATGAGGCTTTTTTTATAAATAAAAATTTTTAAAAAATTACAGTTTCTTACGATTTATTTCGGCTAATTTACGATTTATTTCACGAACGAATATATAACTTTTTAATAGTATCTTACGACATTACCGTAAACGCTTATCAAGTAACTCAACAATATTTATAGGCTGCACCGGGAGACTTGTGGAATGAATAGATAAAATCACTTAAGCATTTTACTGCTAGAGATAGGTCCTCCTGCATAAAATGCCAAAAAAGAATATCTTGTTCTCAATTTAACAAGCAAAATATATAAGTGTGCATAGAAAGAACACTTGCAGGAGTTGTATACTGTGAGAACTGTATGTAAATATATTATATATAAAGGTAAATAAATAAATAAAATTCAATTGGTTCTTTGCATTTTATTTCACAATAAATAACATATCCAATCAGGTTTTTAAGATAACCATTTTTTTTTTATTTTTTTATTTTTTCTTCATATTTTACGCTCCCAACATCTGGATAANTTTACGTAATGTGTAATCAAATAAAAAGTTTAAAATTACTTGTGAAAATTACACTTGGTAACGCAGGGTATCAATGGCTCATCAATCATCACTGATTTATTTATTGAGAGTTCTTGTGATTGTTAGCAAAGTAGTAAGGAATTGCCCATAAATTAAGTCCGCATTTTTCTTCAAATTTTTACTCCCCCTCCCCCTCTTTGGACGTCCAACAAAACTCAAATCCCCCTCAAAACCTTTATCACTATATTAGTAATAAAATGCATAAACTGTATAAAATTTAATGAAATAAAACGGACGTCCGTCGAAGTTCAAAAAGTAAAAGTAGCCAACTCAGAAAGCATTCTTCTTTGATAAATAACCTGAGATTTGACGATAAAATCAAAAAGACATTTTTGTGAATAGATAAAAATGTAAAAATTCAAAGCCTTGAATTTACAATATAACATTAATATGGATGATCTATACAACGAGATGGCTATACTGTAGTTAAAGAAAAAGTAACAAGTGTAATGATGGAAAATTTAAGTATTCCAGAAAAACTGGTAAAATTTTTGAACATTGCCAAACTCAGCGATGGGGGATTTATCCGTTGAACCAGAGAAAAATTCATCAGCGGGAATTCCATGACCACTGTGATTATTTCTTATGAAATCAAGTAAAAAGCATAAAAACATTTAAAGTTTCCAAACTCCAAGCTTTATTTATGTTAACCGTCTTATGATTAAGTTTAAGGTTACACATACGTAACTCATTGTGAATGGGCCTTTCACAATGTACTCTACCGTACGTAACGTTAATCTTAAAGCGTTACTTACACCATTGTTTTAAATGTTGATGGAACCAAAAGGAAATTTAAATAAAGACACGCTCACGAACGTTATTACTTTAAAAATAAATATATATCAAATACTTTTATAGATTTTGTCTAAAAGTCCAAAACCGGCCGTAGTCATAGTTCATACATTTTTTTTTCTTTACATAAAAGTTAATTTTTTACAGTGAAAAAAAAGAATATATTATATTAATATGTTTATCTAATATTGTTTTATTGCTGTAAATACTTAATATATTATTTAAAATCTAATTTTAAAATTATTTTTTTATTATATTAAACAATATAATAAAATACATAATTTTTTAAATTTTCTAGATAGTTGCAAAGTATCTAAAAAGCTATACGGTTTGATTAGTGAATGCACGGGACTCGGAGATATCTTCAGTGAAGATTCGAGTACATATGCCAGAGGATGGAACGAAAATTACACAATTAACACTTCTATACCACCAGAGTATAGATACTTGACCGCATCTCAACTGAAAGGATATCCATTTTGGGGGAAAATGGGTTGGTACGGTGGAGGAGGTTATGTCGTTCCACTATTTGGAAAAAAGGAAAAAGTTTATGAAACTATCAGCAGGTTAAAAGCCGATAATTGGATTAATCAAAATACTAGAGCTATTTTTATTGAAATAGCTCTTTATAATGCTCAAGTTAATCTCTTTACTGCAGTAACTATACTTGCAGAATTCTTGCCCGGCGGCGGTATTACACCATACTATCACATTGATCCCATACGACTCTTATTCTATCATACCAAATCTGGTTTCTTTACTCTAACTTGTGAAATTATCTTTGTCATTTTTAATATTTACTTTACGATAAAAGAATTAAAAAACATAATTAAATTAGGTAAACCATACTTTGACGAATATTGGAATCTTGCGGAAATTGCAAATCTCTTCTTTGCATATTCGGGTATAGGAATGAATATATATCGCTTAATTCTTACTTATAGAATTTTGAATATTTTTACCAAAACTAAAGGAACCGGTTACGTCAAACTTCAAGAAGCAGTTCTTCTCGATTCTAGTTATGGTTATGCCATAGGTTTTCTCATGTTTATATCAACGCTTAAATTTCTTCGATTGTTCCGATACAATAACACAATGAAATTAGTTTCTGGCACTCTAAAGATGTGTGCCACGGAATTGAGAAGCTACGGAATATGTCTCATGATCGTCTTTTGCGCTTTCGTAATACTTTTCTGGGTTCTGTTAGGTACTTTCATGGTAGAATTTTCAACATTTGTTCACTCTTTTGAATCATGTATAAGCATGCTTTTGAAAAAATTCAAATATTCCCACATGGAAAAGGCTTCTCCGTTCTTCGTACCCATTGCTTTCTTTATATTTTCTATCGTAGCATCAATGGTACTGATAAATATTCTTCTCACTCTTATACTTCAGAGTTTCGAACAAGTAAAGAGTAATTTAAGCAAGCAACAAAACGAATTAGATATCATTCAAATGATCAAAGAGAAAATTAAAATTATTGTTGGTAGATCTCGCATTCAACCCATGATAATAAATAGAATTAGGAAAGATCAGGATAAAATTAAAGAATTTCCAGAAAAAGTAGAGAAATTATTGCATTTTATAAATAGTAATTACTTTGAAAATGAGTTAGTTTTTCAGAAAATAAATGAAAAATATTCAAGTGAATATAAAAGAAAACCAGAAATTTGGAAAAATAATACAAATAATTCTAAAATGTTTCTTAAAAAATTTGGAGATATTTAATTATCTTTTAAAGAAATTTCCAGTTTAAATTGTGTGAAATTTTTAAATATTTGATTATAAAATCGATCTCTTCTTCTTCTCTCTTCTTTCTTCTTTTGTGTGTCAATTGTGGGAAAAAAAGCATGCTTTACGAATTTAATTACTTAAAAAAGTATTTAATTCAACTTAGTAATTTATGCAAAAATAAAATAAAAAAGTATTTAAAATAATATTTCAATATTGCCAATAGGAAGGCTGAGGATTCGGGTTCGAATCCCGCGCAGTCAAAAAAACCCCTCGGGATTTTTCGTGGTATGTCAGGCCCTGTTCTTCACTCTCCCCCGGCTTTCCCTATTGTGTGCCCGACCAAACTCACAATGGGCCTGGTTAAAGGCCTAATTAATGCCCACGTGAGAAAGATAATATCAAAATCACAATTATTTATTATGCTTTAATAGAGTATAAAATATTTTATAGTTTAAAATTACTTGTGAAAATTACACTTGGTAACGCAGGGTATCAATGGCTCATCAACCATCACTGATTTATTTATTTATACAACGAGATAGCTATACTGTAGTTAAAGAAAAAGTAACAAGTGTAATGATGGAAAATTTAAGTATTCCAGAAAAACTGGTAAAATTTTTGAACATTGCCAAACTCAGCGATGGGGGATTTATCCGTTGAACCAGAGAAAAATTCATCAGCGGGAATTCCATGACCACTGNACCAAAATTGTAATTTATAAAAGGCCGACTAGTCTGTAACAAAAAAGAAAACTGTATATTTTTTTTTCCAATTTTTGTTTGCACATATTCAATTTTTATCCACAAAACACTTGTTTTTTTTTTAAATTCCTACTTGTTCTAAGCTTATAAATTTCCTACTTCTGGTATAATTATTTGTGTTTTCACCTCTATATCCGTAGCTATGTAGCTTTAAATATATACTAAGGATATAGGACTACACTTTGATGACAAGTCCAAGGATGTGTTTTCTTTCCTTATACAAAAAAACACCTTTGTTTTTTATCTGTATTCGTAAGCAGAATGATGTCTCATAAGTTTAGATGTCAGTCACCAGAAGAGATTCACTGAACCGTAGACACAGGGATACATGGAACACACCAGAAAGGTAGACAAGACATGGGGGGTGAAAGAGGGGATGTGTGTGTGTGTGTGACTTGTGTAGCTTTTGGTTTTTCTTTGTACACGATGCCTTATATAGGAACTGGCAATATGGGGAAAAGAGGAAACAGGGGTACCATCCATCCGCCCGTTGATTTTAAGTAGGGGCATGCTGCAAGCATGTGAATGTTTTTATTCTTTATTCTCACGGAGGTGGTGTCGTTGTTTGGATTTCTAAGGGTGAATCTTCGCCGTGATTATCAGCTTTCCATTTTGTGTGTATCTTTGGTGAAGTAGCTGTCTGGTGATCGTCACTAGATCCGGAAGAATTTAAAGAATTCTGTGATGATTTCTGATCTGTCTGTCGACTGGTTTGTTCCTCTTCTTGTTTCTGTCTCTTATGTTTAGTCCGGCGATTTTGAAACCATACTTTAACCTAAATTTATATATAAAAAAAAGGTTTTTAAGATAAGTATACCGCATTTTATTATAAATAAATTGAAGAAAAATATAATTTTATAACTTAAAAAGTGAGTAAAAATATTAATTTTGTTTATTTAGAATTAAGTTAATATATATATATTATTTGATGTACTTTTAAAGCAATTTATACGTATTTTAAGCCCTTTCTGAGTAGTCAAAAAGCTGTAATTTTTATCGAGTTATATATGAAAAATGTTTTTGATCTCGGAAGTTAACGTCCAATTGTATATCTTTGATCTGTCCACTACAGTGTCCACTCTTATGTCCAGTTCTAGAGTTAGTGTCCAGCTTCTTGTCTGACGTCACCCATGTGGACCGGAAGTTAACAAACCGGTAGTCCATTAGTCCAACGTCCGGACTGACGGTAACGTATGTGATACGGACCGTTAGCGATGTCATCGGTCCGGAACTTGGCCCTAATGCTGGTGTTCTCGAGTTGATCCCAAAATGGTAAACACTTCAAGAAACGATTTCGTTGATTGGCCTACAAACATTCTTATTATAGAGAAGATGAAACAATAGAAACGTGGACATACTTTTGTTTATTTAATCATGACTTCGAATAGCCTATCCGTGATCATGTACTGTAAATCTGATATCTAAGCCCTCGTTTCTTAATAATAAATTTCGTGTTTGGATAATTTATGAATTATTTAAACAATAGTTTCTTCCTTAGTTTAGTTTTTGGTTATAGATTAAAATTTATAAAGCGAGCATCACACAAAAAAATTAGTCTATAATCCCCCTTAATGTTTAATCCGCACATTGTTAAATTCGATCTATAACCGGGGATGATTTAAACATAATGCTTATAAATATAGGTCTGTAGATAGAATTTTAACGGATTTATATGTGTCTATAAGCGTAATAATTATAAAACTGATCGCGTATAAAATTGCCGTGTTGAAAGTCTATACTTTTCAATGCAAGAGATCCATTTTTTAATAAGATTTATGCTTGAAATGATTGAGAAATTGTCTTTAAAGATCTTTATAATTGTAAATTAAGGTAATTATAATATGTATAAACGAATTAATTCTTGAAAATCTTTAAATTTTCTCATAAAAACCGTTGATTCAGTTGGAGGATGAGGATGCACTTAATGTAAATAAGTAAAATAATTACGATTTATCCTTATAATTACTAGAAAAAAATACTTAGAAAGATTTCTGTAAGTGTACATTTGCATAATTATGATATTTATAAGCAAATTAATTGCCAGAAGTTTCTAAATTTTATTATCTTTATCATTAAATCGTTAATTTAGCTTAGGGATGCGGAGGATGCGGATGAACTGATGAAGGAGAAATAATATCGTTTTTTTTGGATGAGAAAGAGCATCTTCATTTCTGATTTTTAAAAAATGCATTTCTAGAAGATAATAGGTAAAGTTTTATTTAACCATTTCTAATTTTATACGAGTTAAAGTTTATCTAAAGTTGTTAAATCAACAACTGATAAGATTAGAATATACAATTCTCGATACCAATTAACTCTATTTTGGTTTGGGATATTTTCGTTTGATAAATAATTTCACTCTTAACTAACTACGTCATTAAAAAAGTGCCCATTCATCACTGATTATTAGACAAAAAATAAACAAAAATTCAACTGGAAAATGCCATTATAAAGTTTATACTTTAATTTAAAATTATTAAATAGCAGTTTATATAAACACAAAACCGTGAAAATAATAAAGATAAATATCAATTTTAGAAAGAAAAAAATACAATGTTTTTTTTATTCGAAAAATATCAAAATGTGTGCTTAGCATTTAATTTCCATGCGGAAAAAAACAAAAAGGAGAATATATAAGTTCACATTTTATATTTTCAAAGCACGTATGGGTAATAAAATTGTTTTATTTCACGACGAAAATAAAAAAAAGAGAGAACGAAGAAGGAAAAAAGCACCATCCAATTTTCCAACAATGGTTCCTCTTCCTTCCTGGTTTTATAGAGAGTATGTAACTCCGAAACATTGGAGGGTGACTCTCTCTCCACATACTCCATCATGACTTCATCAGTGGTTACCATAGTAACAACATCCCCAACCGTCTACTAAAGCTACGGTTTTATGACCAAACGGGTAATCAGTACTTAGAAACGTGCACCATGCACCAATTGCACCCGTGGGCCAATGGTTGGTACGATTGTCTGTGATAGTTCCTTAATCCCGCCTGATGTAACGCCACGCCAAACGATTACAGGGCTACCCATTATGGCGAAACGTGCTAGAGAATTAAGTCCCTCAAGGGACAGATTGGCCCTGACTGTCCCCCATATCATCAAATGGTTTGGCAATATATGTATATATATATATATATAAGGTATACGCTTCGTACCAACTGATACACTGTGCTCTGGAAATAACCCATTTGCGCTCTCATTAATTAACATATTATTAAATGTTTTCTGTAATTGTGTATTAATGTCAAATTTATGTTTAAGCATCTTTATTTTAACGTTGTTAATTAAGTAGTTTACATATTTTAAACAGGGCACTTTAAAATCTCTATTCATTAACTAGGTATGTTGAAAAGACAGAAAAATTGGATAGAAATTCAAATTAAAAAAAAATTTTTTTAATTCATTTGCATCTTTGATTATAATAAAATAACTTAATAAGTTGNAATTATTTAACGCAGTTTTTAATGGTTGTTGTTTAAGTAAATTCATCCTCGACTTTATACAGGTTTTAGTGTGGGTGTAATTTGTTTATTTATTTAATCGCTTTTAAGATTAATGATTTAGAATGTGCTGTAAGGTCTTGTTGAACCGATTTTGGTATTGTTTACTGTTGAGTGTGACGTTGTCCCTTCTCGTTTCTAACAGTATTGGATCTACCCATCTCTCGAGGACAATTTACTTGCCTGTGATATCTAACTGGCCGTTGACAACTATGCAGTTGTTAGACCAACAGAACAGGAACCAATGCGCTCCTTTCCTCCTTCACTTTTCCTTCACAGTTTACTATAATATCATTCATGATCGTCATTCACTAAATTTCCTATGTTTATTGTCTTGATGTCTTTGATTCATATAGGAAAAGCTTGAATATATCATCAAATTTTGTCATTTTGTAAGCAATTTGGATGGATTTATTTTTTAAAATACGGGAAAATTACACAATAAATTGTTTAGGAACCTTAAATTAAGCAAAAAATGATTAAATATTTAACATTATATCGCATTGTTTTTCGTACGAAAGTTAAGGATGAAACATTAGAATATGCTTATTTTAGTGAGAAAAATGTAGATTTTTTCGCTCAGAATTTCAAAAATTACACTTCTAAACATTTAAATTAAAAAAAACAAATTAAATTTTAATTACTTTCATGTATTTACGAACATTTAAATTAACCTTGAAATGTAGAAAGTTGTATGAGTACGCTCCGAAGAGCGACGTACTGTACTTTATACAAGGAAATATAAGCAATTTTTATCATTAATTTTGAAGTTAATTTGCATATTTACTCATAAATGACGTTTAATTATAATATTTAATACATAAAAGGCTTTAAAAAGTTGATAAAATCTTCCAGAAACGAAAGCATTTAGATAAGGCAAATTTAGGATTCTCCGTGGAAGAAATTTCATAAAAAGGGGGGAAACAAAACGAATTTAAAGCAAAGAATGACGGGAAGGGTCCTCTACATCCGGGTAACCTTATCTTTACAGTCTTCGGTCCGGTAACTGACTAGTTTATCGTCTTTCCAAATTTTACAGTGACTATGGGTACGTGGTCGAGTACTTAGATGCAGTAAATCAGTTCGTCCCTCCCCCTGCGGGTCTAGCAATTTCAAAAACTAAGGAAACGTGAAGTGAATGAAACACCAACGAGTAGAAGATACGATAATTCTTTAATTGGCAGTTCGACGTCATCTGGAATCACTTCATTATAGTTAATCAGAAGTATGCGACCCACCCACTAACTGTTGACTTCCCTTATTCTTGGTTCTTAACACATACCATCCTAATTGATCGGTGCTTACCGACCCGAGGGGGTATCATACCTCACTCCCTTTTTCGTCTTTACTAAAACCGGACACAACGAAGGTCCCTGCTTGAGATTCGCATCACACTTTTAATGCGAACGACAGTTTAAGAGACGAACCGGAACGTCATTAATGAGCTGCTTTCTCTTGTGGCTAAAGCTGCGTGGGAACATTTACCATAGGTCTTTTACCTTGCAAAGGTGGGCACACCGGGTCATATAGTCATCCCCTTTGCTTATTCTAATTTATATTGTATCGTTTGCCCGCCGATTCTATTGGAAATTTTCATGAAATTCGTCGAAATTATAAGTTTTTAAGGTGTTTTTTTTAAAAAATACAATCGAATCTGATAAGATTTTAACGCTGTTTTAAGTGAGAATTATACAAAATTAATCGAAATTTAGTGGGTTTATAGTCTAATTTACTGTATCTTAAGCTAGAATTTTAATCAAAATGGTTGGAAATTACCTAGTTTTAGCGACATTTTAGTATATTTTTACACTTTTTAAAAAATATAAGAAAATCTTATAAGATTTCAACACTAAATAAGCACGAATTAAGTAAATTTAATCTTATTTTAATTATAATATCGTAAGCTAAATTATTAATTTAAATTAATTAGACTATTTTATACATTGATTTAATTAATATTTTCAGATTTTTCTACTCTGTTATATAGCCTAAGAATACAATTGATGTAATCACAACGGGGTGTATTAACCTCTATAGAGTTTAGTACAACTAAAACAGAGTTGATTGAACACGAACAAGTTAGTCAATTGTGCTATTTTGATTAAAATATAAAGCTTTGTTTAACCAAATTATGTTAATAGATTGTTTATGAGATTGCCCCTTTTTTTAAGGGCTCAAAATGGGCGATTAACAATGGGTACATTTAACAATTAATAATTAAAGTCTATACATTATAGATACACCCAATTACACAAATATAAACA